AATATTACAAACATACATTTTAATTTCAGTGGCATTTTTAATTCAAATCCCAGCGACACAGATTTACTTCCATACCATGGCTTTGTCAAGCTGCTGCCTACCTTTGTGAAGCAGGACTAATACAAAGTGAATCCAGTAGAACTTTTTATTGCCTACCTGGAATGGGTGACAATAGTTGAATAAACTTCTGACTTAAAAATGGTATTGGTGCCCTATTTGTTGGTACTCACTGATACCCATACCACTATTTTAGTGCTGGATGGGGGGTCCCGCCTGATACCGGTATCGGTGCAACACTAGTTGTCACCACAGAAGGTAAAACTGGCTCTTTGATCCTGTGTTTTAGTTGTGCCTTTAATCACAGGTAATCTTAGTTTTTCTTTCAAATACAAAGTGCTCTAGTTAACATTCCTGTGTTTAGATATATTTTTTCCTTTGTGTAGCTAATGATTGTGACTCTTCTGGAATAAATATATAAAGTAGTCCTCCAGATGGAAGCTCATACGGATGCTGGCTCTGGTTAATTCCTTCCCATGCTCAATAGGTGCCTTTCCATTACAGATTACAGATCCACGACTATGTGGATATTTAGAAAATCTAGAAAATTCTAATTTTCTTAAAGTATTTAGTATTAGGTATGTAAAAACCTTTTATCCAAAAATGTATTTTTGTGAAAATGCAGTGTTTCCGTTTAGGAAATTTATTTTTGTAATTAACAGTTGTGAAATTTCATGTTTAATTGAAGCTAATGACTCCCAGTGCCTGGGTCACACAGCAAGACTTTAAAATTGAGATTTTCAAAACCTAAAAAAAAAGGCCCCTTTTGTTGACCCGTTTGCCTGGGAAATTTCTTAAAAACCTGTTGAGATCAAATGTGGGTTCAGAGTAAATACACGCAAACAGCAAGGGAGAAGCAATGGCGACGCTTTGAGGACTAATTTTAAAAGATTAGAATAAAAAGCAAATTGGTTGGAGAAGTGAAGACAGGATGCATGAGGGATCTACTGGTAGATCTGGTGAGTTGTTGATTTTTTATCTTCAGAAATTGCTTCCTGATGGACTTCACATCACGTTTAACAGGTTACATCATCTTCTGCGCTCAGGGGAGATCACACATGGTTCACGTCGGGGCAAGGCAATCCGTCATGTTGATATCTCCCATTGGAGGCCATAGCCGTCCTGACATCCTTCCAATTCGACCAAATCACTCTTAACACACCACACTCTGCAGGATTATCACATAAGATTATCTAAACAGCCATCACAACAAATGGAAGAAGATGAGGGCAAAAATCCTTTGTAGGATTAGATAAAAGCTTTTTAGCATTAACTCATCAGCAGGGTTTTTTTTCTGACATTAGCTTTAAAATGGCCGACTGTACTGACTCCTGATGATAAAACAGCTCAAGTCACTCCTGGAGAGACTTTCATAAAAATACCTGCATTGATGTATTGAAGTGGGGAAAAAAAGATAAACAATAGTTTACTTCGGAACTGAAATAAATATATTTTATGACTTAATATTTGGAACATGATGACAAAAAACTTAATCATTTTGGACATTCACAGGGTTTATACAGGAATGAATAACTCAACTTTAATGCTTTTTAACCCTGTAATGCCAAATGTATCATATTTGATACATACGGTTTCTGAAATGTTTTG